CTGCGTTGGACGGGGGAGGTTGGCGATGCGTCGCGCTTCCGGGTGTGGGGTGCTCGTGCCCTTGTCCGCGATACGTCCGCGGACAAGCTCTCCTCCCGCACGCTTCCCTGTGTCTTCCTTGGCTTTGTCCCTGACGCGCCTGGCTGGCAGTTTTACCACCCCACCTCGCGCCGGGTCTTCGCCTCTCAGGATGTCACCTTTGACGAGTCGGTCCCTTTTTACCGTCTCTTCCCCTACCGCACTGCCCCCCTCCCTCCCCCGCCGCTTTTCCTTGCTCCTGGTCCCCCTCCGGTAGACCCCCTTCCCCCTCAGGGTCCTGCTCCTTCAGGTGTCTCTCAGGTAGACCCTCCTCCCGTCGCTGAGCCTGTCGAGTTCACAGGTGACTCAGGTGCTGCTGCGGGTGGTGCTGCTGGGAGTGCTGAGCCTGGGGGTGCTGAGCCTGGGGGTGCTGGGCCTGGGGGTGCTGGGGCTGCAGGTGCTGGGACTGAGGGTGCTGGAGCTGAGGGTACGGTGCCTGAGAGTACGGAGCCTGGGGGTGCTGAGCCTAGGGGTGCTGAGCCTGCGGGTGCGGGGCCTGGGAGTGCTGGGACTACGGGTGCTGGAGCTGAGGGTACTGTGCCTGAGAGTTTGCCGCCTGGGGGTGCTGAGCCTGGGGGTGCTGCGACTGGGGGTGCTGAGCCTGCGGGTACTGAGCCTGCGGGTACTGAGCCTGGGGGTGCTGCTACTGAGCCTACGGAGCCTCGGGTTACTGCGTCTGGGGGTGCTCCGGTTCGGGGTGCTGAGCAGTCTCTCACACCGCAGCAGCTTCGTGACTGGTACGTCCGACGCTTTCGCCGTCCTAGTGGCTCGGCTGGAGTTGGGGGTACTGGAGCTGCTCGTTCTGGGAGCACTGCGACTGGAGCTGCTGGAGCTGGGGACTCTGGCGCTGGCGGTGCTAGCGGAGTTGGAGCTGCCGACTCTGGGGGTGGCGCTGCTGCTGGTGCTGCGGACCCACCTGGTGGAGCTGCTGCTGGAGCTGGGGACCCGGCCGGTGGAGCTGCTGCTGGTGCTGTGGACCCGGACGCTGGAGCTCCTACTGGTACTGAGGACCCGGCCGCTGGAGTCCCTTCTGCTTCTGGAGACGCTGCGCGGCCGCGACCGTACTTCGTACCGCTCCTTCAGCAGGTTCTTGGGCAGGCTCCTCCTCCTTGTCCTCCTCCCTCCGTAGAGTGTCCTCCGCCTGTCCAGCCGCAGTCACAGTTACCGCCTGCCTCGCCTCTCCCTGCTCCCTCTCCTTATACTGGTCCCACAGGAGGTCTTACAGAGCGTCGTGAGCCTGAGTCTCGTCCTGTGTCGCCTGTTCGTCCTGCTCGCACTGGTAGTCGTGTCCGTCGTGAGCGTCCTCCTCCTGTCCCAGGCACTCACTACATGACTCTGCGTCCCTCTACTGCTCCTCGGCGTGTCCCTCTACCGTCTCCTCCTGCGTCCTCTTTGCCTACCGTTCCGGACCCTGAGTCTGACCGGTATCGCGCTGAGCACCCTACAGTCACGCGTCTCCTCGCTACTGTTGTCACTGACCCTACCTTTGAGTCCTCGGCTGCGTCTGCTCTGGTCGCTGAGTTGGTTGACTTTGCTGCTGCCTGTCGTCTAGACTACGCTGCTAGCCTTGTTGCTGAGTCAGAGTCTGCGTCTGTCTGTCCTCCGTCCGTCGGGGGTGAGTGTGCTCTTGGCACGGACGTCCTTGAGGACAGGCAGGAGGACTTTGACTCTCTTGCGGCTGCTGTACCTCATCTCGTGGCCTGGTTGCTTGCCCCTGAGGGAGACCCGGATGCACTAGACATCCCCACTCCGCGCACTTACGCAGAGGCGATCTCGGGTCCCTACTCCTCTCAGTGGCAGACAGCCATGGACGCAGAGATGGCATCCTGGAAGTCCACAGGCACCTACGTCGACGAGGTTCCCCCTCCTGGGGCGAACATCGTCGATGGCATGTGGATTTTCAGGGTGAAGCGGCCGCCAGGTTCTCCGCCTGTCTTCAAGGCTCGTTACGTTGCTAGAGGCTTCAGTCAGCGTCAGGGGGTCGACTTCTTCCAGACCTTCTCCCCCACCCCAAAGATGACCACTCTTCGGGTTCTGCTGCACGTTGCTGCTCAGCGTGACTACGAGCTTCACTCTCTTGACTTCAGCACAGCGTTCCTGCAGGGCAGCCTGCACGAGGAGATCTGGCTGCGCCGCCCACCTGGCTTTACTGGGTCGTTTCCTCCTGGTACCCAGTGGAGCCTCCGCCGGCCAGTCTACGGTCTCCGCCAGGCGCCACGTGAGTGGCACGACACACTGAGGACTACACTTGCGGCTCTTGGGTTCGCGCCGTCTACTGCTGACCCGTCGCTGTTTCTGCGCACAGACACGTCGCTGCCGCCGTTCTACATTCTCGTGTACGTCGACGACTTGGTCTTTGCTACTGCTGACACTGAGGCACTCGCTCGTGTGAAGTCGGAGCTACAGAAGAGACACACCTGCACTGACCTGGGTGAACTGCGTAGCTACCTTGGCTTGCAGATCACCCGGGACAGAGCTCGCCGCACCATCACCCTGACTCAGTCACACATGGTGCAGCAGGTCCTTCAGCGCTTCGGCTTCCAGTTCTCCTCACCACAGGCCACACCTCTGGCTACCAGCCACTCGCTCTCAGCTCCACCTTCGGACGAGTCCGTAGAGCCGAGTGGCCCGTACCCAGAGCTTGTAGGCTGCCTCATGTACCTGATGACTTGCACGCGACCTGACCTCGCGTACCCTCTTAGCATCCTTGCTCGTTACGTTGCGCCTGGGAGACACAGGCGAGAGCACTGGGAGGCGGCTAAGAGGGTGCTGCGTTACTTGTGCAGTACATCAGGCATGGGGCTGGTGCTTGGAGGACACGACAGAGTTGTCCTCACTGGTCACTCGGACGCTTCTTGGGTGGACGACCTGGCTACGCAGCGGTCGTCACAGGGTTACACCTTCAGCCTTGGCTCTGGTTCTGTCTCGTGGCGGTCCACCCGCTCTTCCTCTGTTCTCGGCTCTAGTTGTGAGGCTGAGATCTACGCCACAGCCATGGCTGCACAGGAGTTACGCTGGCTCACCTACCTGCTGACTGACTTGGGAGAGCGGCCTAGTTCTCCTCCAGTTCTGTACGGTGACAACAAGGCGGCTCTTGCCTTGTGTCAGGAGCACAGACTGGAGCACAGGACGAAGCACATTGCTCTTCGTTACTTTCTTGCTCGAGAGCTTCAGCAGCGCGGTCAGCTTCGGCTTGTGTACGTGGACTCGAAGGCCAACACTGCTGATATCTTCACCAAGGCGCTCCCGCCTAGTGATCATCAGCGGCACTGTACTTCTTTAGGCCTTGTGTCCACGTTTCCTCACTTGCTCACTGCTTGACATTCTTTGTACTGTACTTTATATATATCTTGTTGCTTGCTTGCTAGGTTTTGATCACTGTGTTGCTTGTCTTGTACTATATCTAGCACTGCATGTGAACTGGCCTTGTGGCCTTTACTTGTGCTCGGAGTGTGGTGACGTTGTGATCCACCCTGGGCTTTGCTTTGCTTTGCTGGACTGGTCTTGTGACCCCTTGTTCTTCCCCACTTTGCCTATGGGGGTGTGTTAAACTGTATTATGCTTGTAGGCTGTAGTGGGGTAGCCAATATGGGGTACAACCCCAACTAGGGTTTCATATTTGTACCCAAACTTCTGCTAGTTCATTCATTCTTGCCTAGCTATTCTGACATGGCAGCTGACTTCCTGACGAAGCGATTGCTAGGCCATCAGTACCAGCATTGCTCCGAACTCAGCGGACTAGTCAAGCAGGTCAAGTTGAGCTACACACAGGAGTGAAGGGGGGTGTTACGTTTAGTGAAATACTATTGTGCACTCCTAACTGCAGGTAAGCGAAGCACGCAGTATCGAGAGTGAACGCGAAGAGTCAGAGTTGACTCGAAGAGATGCAAACGGTTGGAGTGGATTTGGACAGTCAGAGCAGACGGCATCAGGCAGCTGCTGGAGCGAAGAAATTGGCGGGAACAGTTCCGTAATTGTTCGAGTCGCACGGTTGGGTTTGAATTTGAATAAGGGAATGTACCCCTTAAAGTACATGACTAGCTAGGTCGCTTTGTATTCCCTTGTACTAGTACTTATATGTTTGTATCTGCATGTTTTAATTTATCTCAAGCATTTTACATTCACTCTGTTTTGAGGTCAAGGGCCCACCACTACCAATCAGCTGCCAGCAAACCTTCCCGAGGAGATCCTAGTGTCGACAGTGATCGTAGCATAGTTTACACCACTGTATAAGATACATATTTAATCATGTGAGATTTCTGGCAAACCGAAAAAAAAAAGCGCCGAATTCAGCGCAATCAGAATATTGCACGTTGACAAAAGAGGGCATGTTGCGGGCAGAACCAGCTGACACGTGGCCATCGTGGCCACCAGTGTGTCCTTTCTAAAGTTTGAGTGTAGTAAAGAATTCTTATCTCGTCCACACACAAAGCATAACATGTAACATCCAGAGTAGCAAATAGTTGACTTCTCTACACGTCAAGCCATGTTTGGTGTACCTAGAGCTTTCCTAGAGCTTTCGTCACTCTCCTGCTTCGCACGGCCTCCTGCAGCCGCAAGCACGACTTCGTTCGTCGCGCATGGGCGGTTTTCGGCTCACGGTTCACGTAGGTAGTCGAGCCGCGCACCGACACTCGTTTCTAGCGACGACGAGTCAATCTGGTTGACTCCATCCATCGCAGATTCGCGCAACCCCATTCCGTTCCGCGCATCCTCCCCCCACTTCCTCCCTTCTCTTTCATCAATTCCTTTCCTTTCCCCAGTCCTCGTTGCCATCTCGTATCGCCACCTACAAATATTCCCCACATACCGAGTATCGTTCCAAGATCATTTCTTGCTGCTTGAGCTCATAGCAAGTTCGGATTCAGGCTCGTTAAAAGTTAATCCAGAGATTGCAGCGATCATCCTCGTTGCATCCAATGATGGCTAGCGCCGCCCCTCGCTTCGCCTTGCGTAGTAGTCGTCTTCCCCACGCAGCACTGCTGTGCCTCGTCATTTCCATCGCGCTCTCCGCGCCGTGCGCCGTGCGCGGCGCGCAGGGTCCGGCGGCGACGTCGATAGCGGCGGCGCTGGCGAGCGCGTCGTCGTCGTCGCCGTCGCAGTCGTTCAACGTGTCGCTGCTCGTCCTCAACGCCACCGGCCTGCTCGCCAAGCTTCCCGCGCTCGCGCCGCTCACTCTCTTCGCGCCCACCGACGCCGCGTGGCGCGCCGCATTCCGCGCCCTCGCGCTGCAGTATCTTACCGGCTACATTCCCTTCCCCGGCCCCGTGTTTGGATTCGGCGGCGGCGGCTGCGGAACCCCCGGAAGCCCGGGCGGTCAGGGGAACAGTTCGGGCGGCGCCGCCAATTCCGGAGGCATCGCGCAGCCAATCTCAGATCCCGGCGCGGCGGGAGGCGCTAGCGGCGGTGCGAGCGCGGCGATGATTCCCGACCTTCCGCAAATTGACATGCCGCTGCCTGGCGTTCCCGACATGCCCATGCCCGGAATTCCTGGGATCCCCGGGATTCCTGGCGGGTCGGACGGTGTGACGATGCCTTCCCTCGATAACATGACGATTCCCATGCCTCCCGACAACTGGACCTTGCCCGACCTCAATATGACCATGCCAGGCATTCCCGACTTTAATATGACCATGCCTGGCATCAATATGACGATGCCCGACTTTAACTGGACCGTTCCCGATTTGAATATGACCATGCCCGACAACTGGACTATGCCGGACTTCAACTGGACCATGCCCGACTTTAATTGGACCGCACCTAATCCGTTGATTTTCGACCCGCTTCTCGCCGCACTGAGCGCCGTGTTTTCTGGCGACGGGACGCCCGCGTCGCTGGCGGCGCTGGCGAAGGAGCGGCCCGAGACGCTGAAGGCTCTGTCGGAGCTGCTCGCGTACCACGTGGCGACGACGGCGCTGAACGCGGCGGCCATCGCGGCGCGGTTCACGGCGGAGGCGGGCAACCTGACGACGGTGAACGGGCAGGGGCTGTGGATCAACTACAACAAGAGCGAGTCCGCCGCGCTGCTCAACGCGTACTCGCCCGCGCAGCGCGCGCTCATCAGCGAGGGGATCATCGTCGGGTACGACGGCACCATCTACTACCCCAACGGCACCACCGTCGCTGCCAACGGCACCGTGCTGTTTGACGCGGCGACGAGCCCAATAGCCGTGGACTCGGAGGGTAACACATACTTCGCCAACGGTACCGTCGTGAGGGCCAATGGCACCCTCGTCTCCAATGGGACAGCCATCCCCATTGACGGGGGGGGCCTCCCCGTGCCCCCCGTCCCCCTGCCTCCAGCCATCACATCGCCTCCCTCCAACGGCGGTGGCTCGGTGGCGCCACGTGGCGTGGCTGGCGCGCAGATGGAGCCCCCCATGCCCCCTGCTGACATGCCCCCCGCTGACATGCCCCCCAACATCCTGGTGGACCCGCTCCCTAAGGACATGATGGGCGGGTGGGGGGGCATGGCGGAGTGGTGGGGCAACTGGACTGCAGAGGCGCAGCAGCAACTGCTGGCGAAGGCAACTGAGTGGATGAACCAGGCCGTGCCGGGGCTCAACATCACTGCCACTGAGTACCTCGCGTGGCTCAACTCTTCTGCCTTCGGCTGGGCGGCAGGGTCCGGCAGCACGTGGGAGCAGGCTGGCAGCGACATGAAGGTGGCTCGGGTGGTGCGGGCTGATCTGATGGACAGCGCTGGCATCGTGGTGCATGGCATCGATGGCGTGCTCTTCCCGCACTACTGGGGCATGCCTGTGTTCCCAGTTGTGTTGGACGACTCAAACTTGACAAGGAATGGCACGGCTACCAACGGAACCACCGGCGAGGGGGGCAATTCTGCCTCTGGCAATGGAACAGCAGACGCGGGTGGAATGGCAGATGGCAGTCCTACCAGCAGCAGCCCTGGGAACTCCAGTGGAGGGACCAGCAGCAAGGGAGATGTTAGTAGCAGCAGCACCGTGCCTACTGCTGGGACAGCTTCGGCTGGCACACCTGGAAAAGCTGGTGCTAGAGGTGAGCTTGTTCTTCCTCTCTCTTCCCGCTTTCTCTTCTACTCCGTCACTCTCCTCTTACGTACTGCATGTGTCTGCACACATAAGCTCGGATGGATTTGCGCTACGGTACTTCCCCCCGTCTTTGTCTTCTCCCTACTCCCGACTAATCAACCCTTGCTTGTATCTTATCCTCCCTTGTGCAGGTCATCCAGCCGTGCTCCCACTCTGGTCTTTCATCCTTGCAACCTTAGCTGTTCTTGCACTTTGCTGATTTTGGTTAATATCAGGTCCTCACTTCAGTTGTATAAAGAGGAGGAATATTTATCAGCCCCTTGCTCTTGGCAGTCGCCTGCACTCAGGGAAAGTCTGGGCCGTGCTATGTTGGCTGCATGGGTTAGCGATCAGCTGTGTAGTTTCCCCCCAGTTGACCTCTTGGGATGCTGCATACAATTGTACAATTTTATCTGTACTGTTTTCTTTTACAAAGTACTCCACTTCCTCAATTCCACCCGTAACACTCTCCCAACCCTCGATATTGTATCACGAAGTGGGTACCCAAGTATCACCTGTTGGATCATCTCATGCGACAGAAACAGAAACATGCGACAAGGTGTTTTCGTGGGTGATTTGCAGCGTGGTGATTGACGAAGTCATCACTTTTCGCGAATCTGCGCGAATCTGCGCTGCTTGGCGGCCATGTTCTCATACCAACTCGAAAGCGTTTCTCATTCGCAATTTAGGGTTCTGGATGTTACCTAACGAAAGTTAACGATTGACGAGACTTAACGCTCGACCAAACAAGCGACCAACCAAACGGGGGGCATGTTCCACGCTCCTGGGGAACCTGGCCTTGAGCAACCACCTTCGGAGCTGTGCCAGCGCCAGCAAGCGGGCAGCGAAGAATTCGCGAGACGACACGATACACTTCATGGACCCTTCCGTCCACGCACACGTCACATTTGATGACAGTACAAAATGGTGTGCTGACAGGGCATGGAGCCCAATGTTGACCCACACTGGGACAATTCACCCAGCTAGTGACGGAAACCTGACGTGGACCTTGGGCTCATTTCTCAAAGCTGTGGTCCCCCAAAACAGCCGATTCGACTTGCGACGCGCACCTCTCCAAACTCATCCGTCCTCCCATCCCCAAGACTCCAACGTAAAAGCTCGAAGCTCAGAATTCCTCTGCACACATCGAGTTTGGTTCCATACTTCGTCGTAGTGACTCAGCTATTTCAACCAACTCGATTCCCTCCTGATCTTGGCTGCCGCCAAACGAAAGCTTCCGACTCACGTCTTCGTCTTAGATTCTGACCAGCAGCAGCGGCGGCCATGGCAGGAACCTTCTCCTTCGGCGCACTCAAGGATGCGAGCCCAGCGGCGATTCATCAGGTAGATTGGGGGGACCGCCGATTTGTGCTTTGTGAGAAGGTTTATGTCTGGGGGTGTCGTAATGATGTTCCAAGGAATCACTGTTTTTGAATGTAGCGTGTGCTCTTGATCTAAGTTAGGGTTCGTAACCTTTGGAATGCAGTTCGTGGAGGAGGAGCAGCGCCGATTCGATGCGGAAGTCGCGGAGGTCGAGGCGTGGTGGGCGTCGGGCCGCTTTGCTCTCACCAACAGGCCCTACACTGCCAGGGACGTCGTTCGCCTTCGGGACAGCCTCCCCAAGATGTACCCTTCGGGAATGCAGGCTAAGAAGGTACGCCTAAATCCGTGCGGAAAACCATCGTTTTGCAAAAAAAACTTCACGTCCTTGGTCCCATCCTTGGCTCCGTTAGTAACTCACACAATCCCGCTCCCATTCTTTACCACGCGGTATTTGCTGGCTCACTCAAACTTAGAGCTTTGTCTGACCACCCTTCTTCCCTGCCGCGTCCCCCGTTTCAGCTGTACGCGCTGCTGAAGCGGCACCAGGCGAACGGCACGTGCTCGCGCACGTTCGGGTCGCTGGATCCGGTGCAGGTGGCGCAGATGGCCAAGTACCTCGACTCCATCTACGTGTCGGGCTGGCAGTGCGCGTCGACGGCGGCGACGTCGAACGAGCCCGGGCCGGACCTGGCGGACTACCCGTACGACACGGTGCCCAACAAGGTGGAGCACCTCTTCCTCGCGCAGTCGTTCCATGACCGCAAGCAGCGCGAGGCGCGCTTCAGCATGAGCAAGGAGGAGCGCGCGCGCACGCCGTACGTGGACTACCTGGCGCCCATCATCGCGGACGCCGACACGGGGTTCGGCGGCATCAGCGCGACGGTGAAGCTGGTGAAGATGTTTGTGGAGCGCGGCGCGGCGGGCATCCACATGGAGGACCAGGCGTCGGTGACGAAGAAGTGCGGGCACATGGCGGGCAAGGTGCTCGTGTCCACGCAGGAGCACGTCAACCGCCTCGTCGCGGCGCGCCTACAGATGGACATCATGGGCACGGAGACGGTGCTGGTGGCGCGCACGGACGCGGAGGCGGCGACGCTCATCATGACCAACGTGGACAAGCGCGACCACGCCTTCATTCTCGGCGCCACCAACCCGCGCCTGCGCGACCAGCCGCTGGTGCAGGTGATGGCGGACGCGCAGGCGGCGGGCAAGACGGGGCAGCAGCTGCAGGCCATCGAGGACCAGTGGACGGCGGCGGCGGGGCTCCGCCTCTTCGCGGACGCCGTCGCCGACGCCATCCGCAAGCTGCCGCTGGCGGAAACCGAGAAGGCGCGCCGGCTGGACCAGTGGGCGGCGCAGGCGGGCGCGCTGTCGAACGCGGAGGGGCGCGCGCTGGCGGCGAAGCTGGGCGTGACGGAGCTGTTTTGGGACTGGGACCTGCCGCGCACGCGCGAGGGCTTCTACCGCTTCCAGGGCAGCACCAAGGCGTGCGTGGCGCGCGGCATCGCGTTCGCGCCGCACGCGGATCTGGTGTGGATGGAGACGGCGAAGCCGACCATCAGCCAGGCGCGCGAGTTCGCGGAGGGCGTGAAGGCGGTGCACCCGCAGCTGATGCTGGCGTACAACCTGTCGCCGTCGTTCAACTGGGACGCGTCCGGCATGAGCGACGCGCAAATGCAGGAGTTCATTCCCGCGCTCGCGCGCATGGGCTTCTGCTGGCAGTTCATCACGCTCGCCGGCTTCCACGCCAACGCGCTCGTCACCGACACGTTTGCGCGCGACTACGCGGCGCGCGGCATGCTGGCGTACGTGCAGGACATCCAGCGGCAGGAGCGCGCGTTCGGCGTGGAGACGCTGGCGCACCAGAAGTGGTCCGGCGCGAGCTACTACGACAGCCTCATGAAGACCGTCACGGGCGGCGTCTCGTCCACCGCCGCCATGGGCCACGGTCAGTCACCCGCACGGGGAATGGGTGGGGGGGTGCAGTCGTGGGGTGTGGGTCTTGGGTCTGGGGACAGAAACACACTACACGTTACGGGAAACACTCTCACAAACCAACAAGTATGGAGAAGCGGAACTCCTTTAGTCTGGTCCTCAATGCCTCTTGGTCTTACCACTCTGTTTCCTACGTTCCATCCATCTCGTTTTGGTGATGCAGGCGTGACAGAGGATCAGTTCGGTTCAGCAGGCGCTGCCACGGGCGCATCGCACTTGCTGGCGTCGTTGTAATTCCGTCAAGTTATGAGTCCTCATCGTTTCAACGAGCGTGCTGTACCAGCCTTCCAGCATTGGCATGATGTGTGTGATGCTGCACAGCATCGCTTCGCTTGTAAGCCCGTCGGTCTTCTGCGCATGCTGCCAGAGAGCGACATGGGAGCAACAACACAGGCAGTGGCTTGTTTATTGGTTGATCAAACGCTCATTTCCTGGGCTGTTGTGGTCGATTGATACATCGCACAGCTTGGGACCTCTTCATGTAAAAAGGATAGCTAGTGTGTGTGTGTGTGTGTGTGTGTGTGTGTGTGTGTGTGTGTGTGTGTGTGTGTGTGTGTGTGTGTGTGTGTGTGTGTGTGTGTGTGTGTGTGTGTGTGTGTGTGTGTGTTCCATGGCAACGTTGCATATATTTGATTCCATATGCTCATTCTACTGGTTCTTTTACCTCTGAAGATGCCTGCTTTCTTGCGGCTCATTGTTCCCTTACTATATTCTGGTTTCACCTTATACAATTCTCTTTGTGGATAAACCATTACAGCCACTGAGCACAATAAACAACAATCTTGCACATCAGGCCTTTGGATAGGATTGGATGTGCAAACATAGAAAGTGAAAAATTAGGGGGGGAGGGCGAAAGGAGGGAAAGGGGATTAATCTGTTCTAGTCTGGGCATGGAGGGTCTGGACGGTATTCAAGTAGTAAGTTGTGCAGTTATCGGGAGCTCCTTGGACTTCTATCCTTCCAGGAAAACTTGCCAGCTCACTTTCTTGGCACCTGCTCAACAGCATTCCCTGGAAAGGGCCCACCAACTGCCTCTTGAACCTGTCTGAGAACTGCAACACAGCAACACCAATCAATCCCCATCGCTACACAAATGTCCTTCAACTCTTGTGAGCAGTGGCTATTGATTTACGCCTTGTGGCTTGGCTCAATAACCGATAGAGTAGGAAGGTGTGTTATATGTGGAAGATTCTGTGCCCGAAGTTTCTGACGTTTCCTTGGAAGTTGCTGCGGTGGTTTCACCGGAAGTTGCTGCGGTTGTTTCACTGGAAGTTGCTGCGGTGGTTTTACCGGAAGTTGCTGCGGTGGTTTCACCGGAAGTTGCTGCGGTGGTTTCACTGGAAGTTGCTGCGGTGGTTTTACCGGAAGTTGCTGCGGTGGTTTCACCGGAAATTGCTGCGGTGGTTTAACCGGAAGTTGCTGCGGTGGTTTCACCGGAAGTTGCTGCGGTGGTTTCACCGGAAGTTGCTGCTGTGGATTCACCGGAAGTTGCTGCAGTGGTTCCACCAGAAGTTGCTGTGGTGGTTTCACTGGAAGATGCTGCTGTGGAGGTGACAAGTCCTGTGGTTTCTGCAGCACAGGCACGGGAGAGTGGGCATGTGAGCACGTGGGTTCATACAGGCAGGGAAGAACTCAGAAAGAGCAAGCGACGGGGGGCGGAAGAGGAAAGTACGGCAACCCCGACTGAGGCGAATGGATGAATTTCTGGGGCTTACTAATACTCTGGCAGAGGCCCCTGACAGGCCTGTAGTTTTTGCTGTACTTGCATAGCACCTTCTTGCCATCGAAAGTGGATCGGAAGCACGTGGAGTTGGCCGGGCAGCTCGCATACTTGCAGATGTCGTCTGCAGCACAGCGCAGTGCGGAAGGCGGAAAAGGAAAGCAGAGATGAGACAAGCCACCCACCCACTCGTGCGCTCTCAGCGAGGCAAACTGGGCTGTGCAGGTGAGAGCGTGGCGGGAAAGAGAGGGTGAGTTTGCAAGGAGAGGAATGGAGGAGAGGCGGGCGGGGCAAGGCGAGAGGGACGCACCGATGACGCAGAGGGGGTACTTCACTCCCTTGGCGGGCTTCTTGGAACTGCGCAACGGGGGAGGCGGCATGAGGGCAAGGTTTAGTGGGGAAGGTGGGGGATTGAAGGAGTGGCGTTACAAGCACAAGAGCATGGGAGCAACGCGAGCATGAGGGAAAGGAGCACCTCTGCTTGCTGACCACGAGGGTGTTGCTCGCGTTTCCTGTGCACCCGAGAGTCCCCGAGAAGAACTGGATGGTCGTGCACGGTGCAGAGGCATTCGTGCTTGTGGCTTGCTGCCACTTCAACCTCACCACCGTCTTGCCATTGCCCGCATCGGCTGGAAGCTCCACACAGCAGCTCCACACAGCGAGATGACTGGAAGGTGGTCGTGACCCACGGATCCTCATCTGCGTGCCAATCCCCACGCTCACGCTCAGCGGCGCTGCTTGCGACGGCTGCAGGACACACGCTGCAAGAGAGGGGCGGCATTTTGCATGGGAGGGGCACGGAGGCACGGGACATGTAGTGGGACTGCAGTTCAATGTATCAGGTGTGGCGAGACTGCAGTGTGGTGCATTGAACGCGACCATGACGGCGTGAATTCACACGGGGTGTTAACACAATGATGCGCATGAGAGCACGGAGCGAGAGAGCGACGCCGCGCACGGAGCGCACCGGCGATGACGGTGACAACGGCGAGCAGCGAAACGCAGAGCCTTGCCATTCCCCATGCTGCCGCTTCCGGTGGATGGTGTCGCCGCTCCTCCGAGTCGGCCTTGCGCGCTGCACGGGTTGCGACAGCCGGCGACGGTTCGGGGGCGAGAGGAGGCGCGCACAATGATGGTTGCGCGAGAGGGTAGCAGAGCACTGACAGGCGACAGCCGGAATGGCAGATGTGCAGCGGAGCAGATTCAAGGGGAGCACTGCGAGTAGAGTGCTGACTGATTTACGGACACGTCAAGGCGTTGGTGCTAAGCGATAGGGTAGGAGAAGTGACGAGGCCGATCGGGCACGGATGCTTAGATGGGCATCACAGCGAGCCTAGCGTGCGGCGCATCGGGTGCTCGGAACTTCTGTGTCGGAACTTAGACAGGCGGGACCTCTGTGACGGGGCGCAGCCCGCGACGGGCGCGGCAAGGCCTTGGCCATGTGCGACCGCTGCGACAGAAGGCGCAGGGAACGCGTTCCTTCGGGCGCCATCGTCGCTTCGAGCGGCCGTTCCCAGGCGGTGTGCGGCGGCGATAACGTTGGCGAAAGCAAAACGAAGCTGGGATGATGGATCGCGCCACACTGCATTATTGGAGTCGTTGCAAGGAACGCGTTCGTGTAGGCGCCATAGTCGCTTCGAGCGAGCGTTTCCTTGGCCGTGTGCGACGGCGGGGCGAAAGCAATTTCGGAAATGGGATAACGGATCGTGTCGCACTGCCCCATTGGAGGTGTAGGGCAAAAAGGCTTGCAAGTAGGGCCCGTTCCCAGCCCTCGTGTTTCTTCCCAACACTTACAGCGTGGTGCACTCTGGACACTTTCTGAAATGCCAAGCGATATGATTGGGGGATTTTTCAAAGAATGCTGCACAGCCCGAACGGTTCAAAATGGTCTATTTGCAAAAACTATGGTGCACAATATTATAAAACGTTTCAGAGCGGTGACGGACCGAAACCTTTTGAGGATGTTCCTCGTCTTTGGGCCGTTCGTTACTGTCATCGAGTACCGTATGTAACTTCAGTGAAACGCAAAATGGTACGCGCTGTGGCTTCGTAAGTTCAGATTGGGTGTCGGGTCCTAAATTCACAGGCTTCCACTTCTCATTGCCGATTTCTTCAGTCCATATCTGAGATGAGATCTCGTGGCGCATTTATGGCCTCTTTCGAGCATACTCTAGGAGAAACGTCAGACCAGGCAATGGCTGACGCTTTTGATCAGGAAGCACCATCCCGATCCGACGGCGATCCTTTCGCTGCGTTCTCCGACAACCTGTTGGGCGCCGTGCTGCTGCGCGTGGCGTGCAACGGCCTCAGATTCGGCGGTCAGGATTCGCCTATCAGTGACGAAGACGAAGCCGTTTTGGAGAAGAAGATCGACAAGGGCCTAATTGAGCCGCTCCCCTCTGAGAGCGCGTGGCTCTCCGGCAATCCCGAGGCTGCCGCCGAGGCCACGGAGACTCGTTCTTCCGGCCGCGTGAAGTGCGCTTCGTCGCTGATCTCGTTCCGCCACGCGCTCGTCTGCAAGCGCTGGTTGCTCGTGGCGCGGGTCGTGCTTCCTGCAATCGTCGTTCCGCTCGATCGCTTCTTCTCCGCGCGCGCCCTCGCGTCCCTCCTCCGCTCACCCGCGACCGCGGGGTTCCCCAACCTCCGCCATCTGCACCTCGCGCCCAACGCGCTCGACACCGTCGATCCCGCGTTCGTGCACGCCATCTGCGCCGAATCTGGGCCGTTCCTAACGCATCTCTCGCTGCAGCTGCCATCCCAAAATTCCAAACGCAAGAATCACTCTGAAAACGCGGGAGACCCCGGGGTCACCCTCACGGAGTGACCCACAAGTTCCCCCCGTGTTCCCTTCAGGTTACCTGCGGAAGCTGGCGACGTCAGCGACGGCCGCCAACCATCGTAACGTAAGTGCTGACCAATCGGGAGGGAGTACAGTTCGGGAGGGTACCCCAAGGTCACCCCAACTTTGGCGGGAAAGTAGATGGCTTTTGGCTTGGTCGCTACTTCTCTTCTTCCGAGGCTGCGACGTACGGAATTTCCGAACAGCTTGGTAAGGTACGTACACACTGTTCACTTAGTTGGTCTGAAATATAACATTTGTTGTACCGTTTTTTATCGCATTGCTCAATGGCCCTGTTCGCCACGACCACGCTATAGACAAGGGGCGGGGGATGGGCGAGGGCTCCAGAAGGTGCAAAGGAAGCTGCAAAGGAGCCGGGGGGGCTCGCCCTCGACTGAAATTTCGCCAATGGGATCAGGAAGGGGGACAAGGGGATCTAGCGCCTGCCTCCCCCCTTCCTTCAGGGGCAAATTTTTTTCATGAAGAGGATGAACCTTCGAAATCAGTGGTCTGCACGGGGGAGATGCGAGGGAAGGGATGGGGTTTCTAGCTGGCAGGGCAGGAAACTGCCATGCGCATTCCGGATCCCCCGCCAATCCCTTTGATGGCCCAGAAATGTGGGTGTTCGCCACGACAGAGAGCCCACCGAGGTTCGGAGGGGATCTTCAGGCTCGACAGGATTTTGTCGGTCTGACCGGCCCTAAAACCCTGATTTCAGCCCTTTTCGAAGGTGCAGGGCGGATTCCGGATCCCCCGCCCATCCCTTTAGAGGCCCAGCAAAGGCGTGGCGAACAGGGCCAATATGCTCGAATATAGTGATGGGTTGGGTTACGTGGCACATGAAAGTTCACAAACCAATCACAGCTCTTCGACATCACCTTCCCCTGCCTCTCCTCTCCCAGCACCTTCAGACTACATATCCACCCTGCTAGTCGCAACCCGTCATTTCTAACTTCGCGTTTCTGTTATCTCGCAGCCATGTCCGCAATTTCCGCTACTTCAGTCTCTTAGACATCGCTGAGCGCTATGTCTGACCGATAACTAGCTTAGTTTCTCGTCATGCAATTACTTATGAAGCAACGTCATAGACCTGGCGATTTCTTAGGCCATCGTCAGTTGCTAATTGTTTCCTCGAGCCATGTGTGTTGCTTTGCAGGAATCGACTACCGTCGTCTCAGGCGCTTATGTGTGGAGCTCTAGATTCCGTTTACGTGGTAAGCAAGCTACCCGTAGTGCTTTTGTGCTCTGCTTTTGCAAATACTGGATAATTATCCAATTTGTTTTTTTTTTTCCTACAGGCTACTATCCGTGGCGAGCTTCTTGACGTGTGAAGGCACGTCGTCAGGTAAGCCTTTTTTTGCTATCGTGTGGAGTGTTCGTTTCGAGTGCGTCCATTTCGACTCCTTCTGGCACTCTTTTCGCGTTATTTGTGAGGTAGCAATCTTGCTTGGCGCCATGTCGCTGCGCTGGGACGTGCCTGTTTTTACGCAGTTTCTGTTGATCCTATTTTTGCCGTCTGCTGTGTTGCAGGAGCATGCATTGTACTTAGGGTAGTGAGCAATGCACGGAGGGCTCCCCACTGGGAGTATCATAGCTTAGGGCGTGTAAGATCCCCGTGCATCACAATTCGGCCATCAAAATTTGGTGGCCGATGCGAAAGTAGCCCTAAGCATCGTACTGCACCGCGCTGAACCGCCTTGCAAGCGTTTCAAACACCATCGCGTTTCGCAATGGCCACCTAATTTTGATGGCCGAATGGTGATGCACGTGGATCTTACACGCCCTTATGAAACGACGTATGTCGGCTGCACACATTTATCTGCATGTTAGCAAGTGTTTACATTTTGAGATTTAACTGCCTGCAATGTTGTTGTGCAAATATGCAAATTGTTCGTATATGGATCTATTTATGATGCAGAGAATCGTCATGTGTTTTGGTATGCTTAACTGTGAAATCATATAAGGCAGAATACATAATCGGTTTATACCAATTGCAAACGTGGCTATATGAGGATTTGATTTTAAATGCTGTATAATATGTTGGACAACTTTCCTTTAGGGTGGGTTAGTGTAATTTGGAAAAAATGCTGTACAATATGTTGGCGAAGCATTTCACAGCGGGGACGCGGCTCGCGTCTGATTCGCTCCCGCAGGGTGGGAGGGGTCCCCAGTGGGTCACCACCTGTGGGTGAGCTCGGGGTGACCACGCGAAGTGAAAGTTGCAGGGGTTACCCGCAGGTCACCTAGACGAGGGCCCCGGAGTCTCCCGCCCCGGGGTAAGCTGTGGGTGACCTGGGGGGGGGGGGGGGGGGGTTTAGCCCAAACTTTTTTGGGATGGCACGACGCCTGGCTACACGTGGCGAGCGCGCGACAGTACCCTCCTCCTGGGATCGGCGAGCAGGCTGCAGCGGTAGCGGAGGCGGCGTTAATGGCCGGGGCGATCTCGCCGGCCGATGTCGCCGCGTTGTTCTGGTCTTGCACGCGATTGGTCAGTCTTGCTTTGAACTTCGGGAAAGGGATTTCCGAGGTTCCCTCGGCCGTCAGCTGCCTGCAGCAGCTCATGAAGCTCAGCATGTCCTTTCGCGAAGATGTTACCACTTTACCGTCGGAGTTCGGCAGTTTGGTGCGTCTGAAGCGGTTGCAGATTATTTCGTCTTCCCTCGTGCTGCCCGATTCTTTTTGCGAGCTGCCCGCACTGGAGCACGTCCAATTTCGCCGCCGCAAAATTTCCCACCTGCCCAGCGGCTTTGGGCTGTTAGAAATACTAGGAGTGGGGCCTAGGCTTAGTAGCCTAGGCCCACACTAAGAGGTAGGAGGTTGTGCCCTAGAGCTAGGGTTTGGGGTATACGAAGGAGAATTGGAGAAGAGAAGAATGGAGAATGATGGAGCTAGCAAGCAGGTTGGTACAAATAGGAAACCCTAAAGGGGTTGTACTCACTATTGAGCACCCCACTGCAGGCTAGACAAATAACATAATCTGACACGGGCAGCTCCGAAACCTCAAGATCCTCAGCCTCCAGCGACTAATGCAGCTCGTCGAGCTGCCCGCCTCCATCTGCCTCCTCTCCGCGCTTACCAGCCTGACCCTCTTTCAGTGTTACAAGATCTCCAAACTGCCCGATAACTTTCACCAGCTCGCAAATCTGCGCACCCTGCATCTAGAAGAACTCATTGCGCTCACTGCCCTTCCGGAATCTTTAGGTCAGCTGCCCGCGCTGCGTGACCTGGAAATCCTAGACAACGGTCGCATCACGTACCTCCCGCCGTCTCTCTCTGCCAACCGCACGCTGGAGCGCCTTGCGCTCCACAACTGCCCAGCGCTCGCATCCCTGCCGAACGCCATGGGCCACATCCCCACCCTAGATCGCATCGATCTCAGCTTTCTCAACGCCCTCGCGGCGCTTCCGGACTCCCTGGGTCGCGCGTCTCGCCTCCGGGAGCTTCGAATCGTCGCCTGCAGCCGCCTCGTGGGGCTCCCGCGCTCCGTCGCCGCCATGTGCTCCCTCGCGCGCCTCACTCTCGACGGCTGCGCTGCGCGGGCGCTGCCCGAGGATTTCGGGCAGCTCTCGAATCTGGTGCGGCTGGAGCTGTCCTGCGAGCGACTGACGGCCCTGCCCAGGTCGTTCGGGCAGCTGGGGAAGCTGCAGGAGCTGAGGCTCCATGCTTGCTACGGGCTTCTCGAGCTGCCCGCGTTTTTCGCGAATCTTTCCTCGCTCGAAACCCTAGCCATCTACGGGGGAACGTCGCTCATCTTTCTGCTGCCCAACTTCGAGCAACTCCCGCAGCTTCGGCACCTGGAGCTGTTCAACTGCGCCATTCCGAACCTGCCGGAGAAGTTCGGGCAGCTGCCGAAGCTGGAGGTTCTCAAGGTGGGGAGCAGGGAGAGCTACACGAGAAACGACGCGGAGCCAGGGCAGCCCGTGTGGCCTCCTCCCATGGTGCTCACAGTAACGTCGCGGGGGGAACCGGCGTCAATGTTCATGCTGATGGGCGACCCGCTCCTCCTGGACCAGCTAGACGAAACGCTGCTGGGCCGCTGCCTGCTGCGCAGCCTCCCCCCGTCCTTGTCGTGCCTCACGTGCCTGCAGCAGCTGGTCATCGACGGGTGTGGCGAGCTGGAGAGCCTGCCAGAGGGACTGGGCCGCCTGGCTGGGCTGCAAGTGCTGCGCGTAAACAACTGCCCCAAGCTGCGCTGCTTCCCCTCCCTTCTGCCTGCCGCGCCTCCCACTACCTCCACCTCCGCAGCTGGGGAAAGTTCGCCCTTTGCTGCTGGCCCTGCTGCCACTGCCACTGCTGCTGCTGCTGTGCCGGCTCCTCATTCTCCAACGCATCCCGCAGCGGGCCTTGCATCTTGCTCTGCTCCCCTCCCCAAGCTTCACAGCCTGGAAATCTCCAACTGCCCGAGCCTACTAGGCCTTCCACACGGCCACGATACCTTGCCGAGGCTGGAGCGAGTCACCCTATCTAACTGCAGCAAGCTGGGCTTTGCGAATCGCTTCACTGCGCGCCCCTCCTCAACCTTACATGCTGCACCCATCGCCCTCCCCTCCTCCGTCACCACCGTCTCACTGCTTGGCGTCTTCTCAGAAGCATGCTACCTGAAAGACTCCTTTCTCACCCTCTCGCACCTCACCCATCTCAACCTTCACCAACTCCTCTCTCTCCGCGCGCTCTTCGCACCTCACCCGCATAGCGCTCAGGCTGCAACTAGCATTGGAGAGCTGGAGCCAGGCACTGAGCCAGGCGGTGAAGCGGCAGGCCAGGTTTACGGTTTCCCGGTCGATCCTCAACCCGGTCAGCCGGCCAGATTGGCGCTCCTCTCGTCTCTGCAGCACCTGGCTATTGCAAACTCGCGCCTGCCGCTGCTGCCTAGCAACCTTAGCGACCTCCAAAGCCTCAAGGTGCTCATTCTGGAAAGCTGCATTTGCATGCCCTCCCTCCCCGCCTCTCTACCGCTCCTCCCCAACCTTGAAAAGCTGGTTTCGAGTACTCTTCCCAGGCTGGCGAGCCTGCCTGAGAATCTCGGGCAGCTGAAATCCCTGAATAGCTCACTGTGGAGGCGTGCGATGCGCTGGTGGGGCTGCCCGCGTCGATCGGCCTCCTCTCCTCCCTTGTCCTCCTCTCCATCACCGAATGCGAGAAATTCGCCTCTCTCCCGGACTCCATAGGTTCCCTCTCCCGCCTCCACTCTCTGAAGCTCAACAGTCTCTTCCGCCTGCGCCGCCTGCCAGAGTCTCTCTCCCTCCTCCCCGCCCTTGTGGTCCTCTCACTGGAAGACTGTGAGAAGCTGCGTGCGCTGCCGGAGGGGCTGGCGGAAGTGGGAACGTTGAGAGAGGTGATGCTGGGAGGGTGCTGTCGGCTCAAGCATGTGCCTCAATCGCTGCTGGATAGACAGCATGTGATAGACCTGCAGGGCATTAACTGACGGGGGGGGGGGGAGGTGGTGACATGTGGGTTGAGTGATGGAAGGAGGGGGAGGGGGAGGGTAGGAGACGAGACGAGAGGAATGCTGAAGGAAGACGAGATTGCTGGTGCTGGTTGGGTTTTTGTGAAATGAAAATGGGCGGAATGTACTTTTATTTACTGTATTATCGTCTAGCAAGTTACCAAAAATTGACTCTAATCACTTATATGGGCCTAGCGGATGTTCTTCTGCCTCAGGCATGCGACTTTCTGTTGGGTATAAGAAAAGCCATAAAGATCTGTGACTTTGAATTTGTGTACTAGTAAGTTCCCCGATAAAAGACTTGGGGGGTACAGATGCCTAATAATCAGGAACGCCCATTCACCGTATAAGACACCCGTTTAATAGACACCAAAATAGCCCAATCTAACGTCGAATCAGCGTAAAAGGGCTGATATCTAGGGCACTGCCAGAGACTGATGGTGCCTTAGGTGCTGGTGCTTCTGCCGATGCCGGTGCTTCAGCCGATGCCTGTGCTTCAGTAGCTAGGAGATGGTGGCGGAATGAAAATATTTAAACACTGCCTTCAAGACAATCATAAAAACATTGACAACTGAAGTAGCACGCATATCAAAGACGTGGGCACGCTAATACAGAATTGAACACGAACTCCATTGCCCAACATCCACCAGCCAAAACCTACATACATAGAACAAAGACGTGGAAGCACTACACATCAGATTCCAAACATCAGGAGCGAGAGGGTGGCAACAGCAGCAGCACTGGAGAGGTTGACTGCAGAAGCAATAAGCATGCAAGGGACAGATGTCGATGGTCCCTTGAATGCCGGTGCTTCAGCCGATGCCGGTGCTTCAGCCGATGCTGGTGCTTCAGCCGATGCTGGTGCTTCAGCCGATGCTGGTGCTTCAGCCGATGCTGGTGCTTCAGCCGATGCTGGTGCTTCTGAGGGTGACGACCCTGGAAAGTGGGTGCAAGAACAGATTAGATGGAGCTGAACGAAGTTCTGCATAGCATACGTACCCAGTCAAGTGGCCATTGCTGGCAAGCTCATTTGGAACCGGGGGCGTGGCATCAATCTCATGCTTGCTCGTGTGCAGTGAAGGCAGCATGGCAGACTTACATGCACGGGGCGTGCAGGAGGAGCAGAAGGACGAGCAGAGCTGGCAGAAGCTGGAGTTGTTGCTCTGCTGCACCACACACTTGCTGCCCTCTGCAGGGCAGGTCAGTCTCGTACCCGAGATGTTCCTGTAGGTGGGAGGGGGAGGGGAAGGAAACACAACACAAAAATAACCATCTCACTAATGCAGATGTTTACATGCAGTTGAATTTCACGGCTGCATCAGTTTCTTTCCCTCAGGAACTGCCACTAGCTGGATGGACAATGTGGACTTGTGCGACTGCAAGTGTCGGATGAACTTTACGGCTGCATCAGTTTCTTTCCCACTGGAAAAGTGCAACTGCATGACAGGAGGACAGCCGCAGCTAACCATGTGAGAATCAAGAGAGTAAAACATGGCCTGTTCTTTTCAATCCAATTTGTGACTAGTGTTCACGGTCATGTTGTGTCCATAATTTTCTTGCTGCGTTTATTAAGAAATAGGAATGAACTAGCTGCACATGGCATACATGACTTTGATTTGGCCCTGATCGTACACACTTCACAGGACAGCAGGGGAGCCCATCCCCCCGCCTAAACTAATCTACAGCAATGTGGTTGATTTAATCTTATTTAATCTATAGTTCTGATTATTCCTGACTGATTTAGGCGAAGTGAACCTTATTGTCACTGAAGTGCGATAGGCTATTGAGCTTGGTGCTTCGTGCTGTGTCGCCAATTCAAATTGATCTTCAATGAGACCACTCATCTTGTACACGAACGTGGCAAATACCGTGGGAACATCGAGTTGAATGACGTATCATGTGCTATAGAAGAGTGCAAGCCACGTGACAAGATAGGGGGCAAACGGGATGCACCAAAGTGGAGGGCAAACAGGAAAGGTGGCAGTAGTAAGAGCAATGCTGGGAGAGCGCGGTCAGCTCTTGGCTTGTAGACGGGGACAGGTTGTGCCACTCACAGATACGCCAGCCTCATAAGTTTGCCCAAACTAGCAGGTATGGGCCCGCTGAAGTTGTTGCCTCCAAGGCCCCTGCCATGTGATGCCATGCCATGCCATGCCATGCCGTGCCGTGCCATGTCGTGCCTTGCCACGCCATCCCATGCCACCCACGTCATTCAATGTCTTTCCATGTCACTCCGTACCGTGCCATGCCAGCCCATGCCATCCCATGTAATGCCGTGTTATGCCATGCCATGCCATGCCATGCCGTGCCATGCCATGCCATGCCATGCCATGCCATTCCAGCATGTGCGTGCCAGGAAACAAAACAAATTTTGAACAGAACTTGAAGTGTGTTCAAGGGAGGCTTTGGAGCATTCCCGATTCAATAAAACGCCCTGGTCAAGGCACCAATCTTGCAAGAAGGTAGCATTCATGTCTCTAAAGTCATTCCTGTTTTACAGCAGCAGCCCTGGCTCATGCTCAAGAGGGACGAGCCAATTGCGGCTCACAGGTACTGCAGCTCTGCAAAGCGGGAGATGGAGCCAGGGAGGGAGCCATTGAGGTGGTTGTCGCTCACATCGCTGGCATTTGAATGGGGCATGGTGGTGGGTTGGTCGTGGGAAGAGTGGGGAGGGGAGAGAGTGGGTGGAGGGGAGAGGAGGCGAGAAGGATGAAGATTCTTTGCAACACGCCGCTCTGCTCATAACAACTAGTGGCTTCTAAGCACTCCATGCCTGGGCCTGTGACTGCTAGATTAGATGTGGGTACCTTAAATGGGCAAATACATATACATATATAAACCGACTCCTGACGCGCACATATAGATGAACAAGCAGCTAAGAAGGCTTGAAACAAGGCGGTGTTCTCACAGAACATGAAGAGATGTGAATTGCCAAGACGTAAGGTCAGGTAGCGGACCAGAGAATGCATTGTCTTGTAGATTACTGTGTGGATTGCCATGGCATATGATGGGGAGGGGGGAGTGCATAGCAGTGTACACTACAAGGAACATGGTAGTTACACGTATGAAAACACTGAGCTTGTTCTTCGTGTTGACTGAAATCAAGTGGTGGCAACGCGCCAAACCATTCAGCATACGTCCGTCCCTCCTTCCATTTTGGCATTTCAAAGCGCTTGCTGAACAACGAGTTGATCGAAACCCATTTCAGTAGGAGGAGGAGGCCTCTCGAATTTTAAGGCGTCTCGAAATACTTCAAGGCGCTTACAGAACAGTGAGTTGGGAAGAGGCCATTTCAGAAGGAAGAGGCCCCTGGAGCTGGTTGTGAGCCATGGAGCTGGAGAGAGAGCAAGGGCGATGGTGGAAAGAAGTGAAGAGACGGTGACATGCATAAGAGGCAACAAGCAGCAGTGAGGAGTGAGCCATCAAGCAACCCATGGGCCATAACATGTTTTAAAGAACATGTGTACTGCATGATTCAGGTGCATGATTCAGGTGCATGGTCCCAGTGCACGAGATTATTTTTTGAGTCAACTAAAAAACTGCATGATCCTGGATTCGAGGTACAGGAGTTTAAGTTTCCGCCTGTTTTATCTTGCAGCATGCACCATCCCCCTTGCATGGTCGGCTCTCCTCCATGCCAGAAGGAATACCGTGGCACGGCATGGCATGGAACGGCACAACACAGGATGTCGGAACAACGTTGAAACTAAGGGACATATGCATGAATCCATTATCGTTGTACATTTGTCTAGAGACAGACCTTCTTGGTGGTTCCTCAAACACAAGCAGCTGTGGTTCCTAGATCCATTAACACATGCCACGCCACCATTTGTACCAACGCCAGCACCCTACAGTAAGTTGGTTGGTCAACCAGTAGCCTTGCGGCCGTTTCAACCACGTTTCCACCTTTCTCTACTTGCTATGCATGCTCTCTAGCTCCTATATTGAAGCTAGCCGTTTACCAGTTCTCTCAGACACAGCTGCATGCTGTGTAACATTCTGGCTCCTGTTGGCAGTTTCCCTTCTCCTACATCAAGAGACCTCGTGGAGAGAAGTACACACATGGGCATCGAAACTCTCTTATTAGCAGTCCATCAGCATCACCACGTGCTCATGGCCTTACGATTCGTTTAACTGAAGAAATGATCCGACTAGATGTGGGGCCCCACTCACAGGGTCTCCAGGTAAGAGAAGCCCCAGAAATCTCTTGGAACAACGCCAGAAAAGCGGTTGTGGGAGATGTTCCTGTAGGCGCAAGTGAACGGCATTTGCAAGGAAGCGGTAAAGGTGTCAGAGGAGGACAGCTCGTTAGATACGGAACAACGTACTATGGAGTAGACTGAAAATGAAAGGATGAGGAAAAAACCTTACAATCTTTCCAATTACATGATATATATAGTTGTTGGAAGGGGTCCCGTCAAGTTGTTGTGTGAGAGGTTGCTGCACGCAATAATGGGTATGGCTTGAAGCAACGAAGAGTATGGATTGAAGCAACTGAGGGTATGGCTTGACGCTACGGAGGGTATGGCTTGACGCTACGGAGGGTATGGCTTGACGCAATGGAGGGTATGGCTGGGCTGCATTGTTGTGTTACAACAATGCAGAGCTGAATGATTGGGAGAAAATTCATGACATGAACTGGAATGCATTACATGTTTGTTGGGCCGCCAATGATATCATCATATAGGAGAACGGAGGGGAAGGGTCCAGTGAAGCTGTTGTTAGACACGTCACTGTGGAGAAGGAAGAGATGTAAAGGAAGGTGAACAATGATTCATGCAGGCAGGGAATTGAGAGGAATGAAGGATGGCAGGGGGTAATGAATCAGGGAATGCAGACGAAAAAAGGGGAGATTAAGAAATGAGGTGATACTGTTGATGAGCAGATTCTGAACCCACGGCAAAAATTGGATGCAATAGGCAGTGTTGCACTCACACGTATACTTCAATGATGTAAGCATCTTATGGAAGGAGTGATGCTGAGACTTATGAGTCATTTAGAGGTTTATGAGATACGTACAACAAGTTTGTGACTCTTAAAGCAGCAGGCAACGATGGGAAGGGGCCTGAGAAGTTGCATGATGCGAAATTCCTAAAAAGGGAGGTTTGGTGGATGAAATACGAGGGAGAGGAGGCAAATCCGTGTATGAAATAAGAGTGGAAGTGTCAAAAGGGAGGGGAGAGGGGGATTGGGGGGAGGGAGATAAAGGGGTTGGGGAGGTTTGGTCGAACAGGAGGAAAAAGGGGATGACTCGATGGTAGAGGTCGGGAAGGTCTAGGGAAGAGACTAAACTGATCCTGGTTGAGACGTGGGAGGGATCACTGTAATCTCTAAACTGAAAACTACAACATCAAATGCAACCACTGCACAATGAAATGGTACTCTGTGAGTGCGCTACTCTAGAGTGTCACTCACAGTGAATGCACTGCAGCCACTGACTCTAGGAACAGCCCATCCGAGATTTCACTGAGAGGATTGTAGCTTCTTTGTACAACCACGCGGCATTCTGATTGCTGGAGAGCATTTGTACAGTGCAGGGATCAGCTTGCGCTAATGGCTGCTGCGTGTGATGTTGATGAGGTAGATTACAGGGAAGGGAAGGAGGTCGGGTAAAAAGATCAAGTTGAAAGGAAAGGAGGGCTGGTTTCCTATAAACATGACATAATTGGACATATGCATGAGCAAAGAACTAACAAGTGGTTCTCTTCGAATTGTGTTGAGACAACTTGATGACTTTTGGGATGTGGCGTGCTTTTGGGGGAGGTCAGAAGGAAACCGGGCCCTTTTCCTACGCCGATGGTAACCTGGTCATAATTCGACCAAGAGGTGTCGCTCAAGAGGCGATCGACCAAAGAGGCACTTTCATGAGCCGATGACATTTGTTGGCACCCTGAGTGGGCTGAAAGGTTCCAGGAAAGTGAGGTTGCGGTGTGGATGCCAGCAGGGATGTTCCCTGAGAGGTTGCTGTTGTAAAGCTCCCTGGTGGGGCCAGTGCTCACGACCTGGTGCTTTTGCGTATCAGCTGGTCTTATCTTTCATTTTCTACAACGCCTGCATGTAAGATGGGAATTCTGTGGAAAGAGGAAGAGGGGGAGGGCAGAGACAAAGGAAAGAGAAGAGAGAGAGGCATACAGGTTGGATAGGGCAGTGAGGGCGGAGATGGTGGAGGGGACAGAGCCAGTGAAGCCATTCAGACCAGCCCGCCTGGAGGGGGGAGGGGAGGGGCGAGAGGAGAGGCGCACGCATTGGTGGCTGGTGGACAAGGTGTAAAAAACTAGGGTTTAGATCCATCCACACATCAGGTAATGAGCTCAAGGCTCTTAAGTATATCTGGAACGTGCAAAGGTGGATGGGTAACAGATCGGGGGCAATCCCCTCCCCAATGGGGCTGGCTGAAATCTCCGATGGGCAGGCTGGGGTTTTTGGTTGATTGTATTTGGGTAGGGTTGTGACGTTTCTGTACCACCCAGCGCAGAAGAACTGCATTTACACAAAATTAAGAGCACAAAGGTTTGAGAATGAAGGCTGACTTCAACACAAGGCAGTGGGTTGGCTGGCAAAGAGAAAACGTAACAATGGGCAGGCGGCTCAAGATGGCAAGCCGCAAAACGGTGTGCTCTTGACGGTGTGCTCTTGACGGTGTGCTCTTGACGGTGTGCTCTTGACGGTGTGCTCTTGACGGTGTGCTCTTGACGGTGTGCTCTTGACGGGGTGCTCTTGACGGGGTGCTCTTGACGGGGTGCTCTTGACGGGGTGCTCTTGACGGGGTGCTCTTGACGGTGTGCTCTTGACGGTGTGCTCTTGACGGTGTGCTCTTGACGGTGTGCTCTTGACGGTGTGCTCTTGACGGTGTGCTCTTGACGGTGTGCTCTTGACGGTGTGCTCTTGACGGTGTGCTCTTGACGGTGTGCTCTTGACGGTGTGCTCTTGACGGTGTGCTCTTGACGGTGTGCTCTTGACGGTGTGCTCTTGACGGGGTGCTCTTGACGGGGTGCTCTTGACGGGGTGCTCTTGACGGGGTGCTCTTGACGGGGTGCTCTTGACGGTGTGCTCTTGACGGTGTGCTCTTGACGGTGTGCTCTTGACGGTGTGCTCTTGACAGTGTGCTCTTGACGGTGTGCTCTTGACGGGGTGCTCTTGACGGGGTGCTCTTGACGGGGTGCTCTTGACGGGGTGCTCTTGACGGGGTGCTCTTGACGGTGTGCTCTTGACGGTGTGCTCTTGACGGTGTGCTCTTGACGGTGTGCTCTTGACGGTGTGCTCTTGACGGTGTGCTCTTGACGGTGTGCTCTTGACGGTGTGCTCTTGACGGTGTGCTCTTGACGGTGTGCTCTTGACGGTGTGCTCTTGACGGTGTGCTCTTGACGGTGTGCTCTTGACGGGGTGCTCTTGACGGGGTGCTCTTGACGGGGTGCTCTTGACGGGGTGCTCTTGACGGGGTGCTCTTGACGGTGTGCTCTTGACGGTGTGCTCTTGACGGTGTGCTCTTGACGGTGTGCTCTTGACGGTGTGCTCTTGACGGTGTGCTCTTGACGGTGTGCTCTTGACGGTGTGCTCTTGACGGTGTGCTCTTGACGGTGTGCTCTTGACGGTGTGCTCTTGACGGTGTGCTCTTGACGGTGTGCTCTTGACGGTGTGCTCTTGACGGTGTGCTCTTGACGGTGTGCTCTTGACGGTGTGCTCTTGACGGTGTGCTCTTGACGGTGTGCTCTTGACGGTGTGCTCTTGACGGTGTGCTCTTGACGGTGTGCTCTTGACGGTGTGCTCTTGACGGGGGTGCTCTTGACGGGTTGGGCGGCTCACAAAGTGTCCAACCCTGTGAGCGCCATCCATTCGGTGGGGAATGGTGCAGAGCGGTGGACATCAACGTTGCCGGTGGCATCCCTGCAGGGTGGTCAAGGGCAGGAGGTAAGGGAGAGGCACCAGCACGGGGAGCTTTAGTTCGTGGAGGGGGGGGTGGGGGGCATGGGGAACTTAGTCGTTGGAGTTGAACGGCATAGGGAAAGCACTACAAGTGGCACCAGCACACACTTTAAACAACTCTATCCATCGCGCTTCAGTACGATGCCAGGAAAGAAGCAAGGGGAATGCACTTGAAAGAGGGCGGCACAAATCAGTCATGGACAAGCTTTCACAGGTTCTAGCAAGCCTTGGCAAAGCTCCAGCAGCGAGCAATGCAAGCAGAGAGCGAATGCGTGAGCAAGTTTCCAAGACAGTAGCGAGTCACAGGTGGTGCAGAGGAAGAAAGGAGATGGATTGCGCAGGACAGCCGTGCACTGACCACTCTTGAACGAAGTGCAAGGAACGCCAGAAAGTGCAGATGATAGTTGGACTCGTGGTCAAGTGGAGTTCCACTCACAAATAGACGAGCCCTGAGAAGCGGTAAGCGGGTGATGCGAAGGAAACTTAGGTCACTGCCACAGAGGGAAGGAAAGAGGGGGGAGTGAGGCCGAGCACACCCCTAAGCTCCTGCTGAACCCTGCTGGTTTGTTATTTGGACCTATGCACATTCAAAAGTGAAAGATGGTTGCTATCATGGAAAAGTACCTAAGAGGGATGGGTTGCTGCTAACCTCGACTGTGTCACAATGATACGGATATGTGATACGCTGCATTCAACAAGAAAACACATGTCCACGGGCTAACCTAGAGCACGTAAAAAATGACAGCAATATTATCGTTGTGCTTTGGTGGGTACCAAACGGATGCATACAACATGGGATGGGATCGAACAAACAATACAAGGCATGCGCTCCAGGAGCAAGGAAGAAGAGATTTACAGTTGCCAGAGTGAAGTAAGTGCAGAGAGGGAGGAAGGGAGCTCTCCAGCAGTCAGGTTGAGATTTACAAGGGAGCTGAGGAGGAGAAGTGAGCATGAAAGACGGAGGGGCAAGAGGGAGGATGAAAGAGAATGAAGTTGAGGGTCGTCTCGAGAGCTGAGAAGCAGGGAGAATGCGAGTGAGTGAGGCATTGAGAAAGAAGCACGGGCAAGTGCTGTGCTGTGTGGAATGTGGGAGAGCCACTTGGATGGGTGCTGCGGTTTGCAGGAGGACTTGATCCGATAAACGAGGCGGTGCATTGACGGTCAAGCATTGTGTTGGAGTAGGCTAGCTAGCCTTCGCTCTGTACTTAATTCTGATCATATAGTACTTTCCGGCCAGTTAAAGTCCTACTTTCATTACAGGTTCACTTTCGGTTCATTTTGGAGTTTGTTCCTAGACTGAACCCTAGGTTCAACTGCGGTTTCACCCCGACCTACTCTATGATTTTGCACACAGCTCTATCAAATGGAACTCTTTTTCCTTCTCGTCGTCCATGCCTTTGAAGCTCTTCTTGACACCGTGAAGAGGAAAAAGCACCGATAGAGCAAGAGGGGAGGCGGGCAGGGATGAGTGATAGCGGAGGCGACGGCGGGCAGGGATGAGTGATAGCGGAGGCGACAGCGGGCAGGGATGAAGCGAGGCGTACAGGTGCTGAAGGCGAGTGAGTGGAGCGAGACACGAAAGGTTGTCCATGGAGCCTTGCATCACGGGGGGTCTCATGGATGACTGAACCAAGAGAATGCTGCGAGAGAGACAGACAGCAGGTAGAAGGGAGACAGAGGAGCGTGAAGGAGTGTGACTACCTATCCATGAAAGGCGTTTGCATATGGCACAACAACAGAAGCAGAGCAGAAAGTCTGTGTGCGTGGGTGCACGGATGGGGGAGCACGAGGAATTGAGCAGGTGGGAGAATGAGAGGCACTAATGTGCGTGAATGGAGGAGCTTGGACCAAACTCCTGGCATCGCCAAAAGAGCTGCCCTGGTGCACTATGCCCTTCAGAACAAGGTGCTGCGCATCGCATTAGCAAGTGACAGCATTTCAAACATCACATGAAGAACGAAGCACCTGCCCATACACAATACTCTATTTTCAAGCCACCCGTGTCACGCTGATACAGCTCTCTCTTGCAAGTATCTTGCACACACCATGCAGCATGGCACTCACCATGACTTGCACCAACAGGCAACAAGAGCCCCAACGTCTCCATTAGTCTCACTCTATTGGGTCATCTGCACTGTATGACTCAGGAAGGTAGCCAGGAGGGTATTCAAGAAAGTCGTCGACGGGCGAATGCATCTCAAAGGACCCGGCTACCAGGCTCGGCTCAACTATTCTGGCCCGACCAATTGCTCATGTCTACGCGGAGGACGAGAGGGGAGAGATTCAGGCAGGAGGGGGTGGGTAACAGAGTGGAGTAGGATTGAATCTTGGAAGTTGGATAACGGGCCCTAAAGCGTAGGCTGCCACACTGCCTGATCAGATTCTTGAGATGCACTCACAGATGCCACCAAACGCCTGCCGTGCACCACCATGCTTGCACCGACAGGCAGCAAGAGCCCCAACATCTCCATCAGTCTCTCACCGTGTTTCTACCTCGTAAGGTGCACCAATCATCGCAGCATCCATCACAGGTATACCAATGGCACTGCAAGTTCGGGGCCGTGTGCAGGCAAAAGGAGGTGGGTTAATGAGTGCTCATGCAATTAACTGACTGAAAGTGGAGCAACAGTTGGGAAGTGGAGAAAACACAAAGCACAAAGGAACAGTGAACACTACTAGTAAACGATGTGCATGGCAGCAAGGAGGTGAAAGGGGAGAGCAGCGAGGTTTAAGCAGACGCAGGGGTAGGTACAGGGATTGGAGTGCAGTGAGGCGACTGATGGTGCAAGGGAGACTTCCATTGAGACCCACGCCCGAGAGGTAACTGGGATGGTATGCATGCGAATTCGTGCAGAGAGTTGCATGCCAGCAGGAAAGCACATGAATTGAAATGCCATTGAAAGAATCGTGGAAGTTGGATAACTGACTGATTACAAAGAGGTCGGCTGCCTACTATCCAATAATCACGCACGCACGTGCGCACACTCCCACGCACGTACGCCCGCACGCACACACGCACACGTGCCACACGCACTCACTCACGTTTACACTAGTGGCATTATTGCAACTCGTATGAGTTTCATTAATGCCTTCTGTACACTGTGTCACACGGAAAGGCACGCGAGTTCAACCCACAACCTTCCCAGCATGTTCCTTTGGCACGGCCACTTTGCCCTTGCACTGCTCTCTCTCTCTCCTATTTTCCATGATGCACCGCATGCTCTGCCCTTCTCTTCCCTCTCTCCCCATTATCACTTCCTATTTCTCCACCAGCTTACAGGGAAGTAACCATCCCATCTTGATTACAGCCCGCATATGCATCCTCTGTCGCCCACTCATCGCACATCACACTTGATAGGTTGTGCTTCCACAGACCCCATGCTCTGTCCAGGTCCAGCAGCGCTTGCACTGGGGGGGAATGGAAAGGCATGCCCGTAGCGAATGAGGTAGGGCTCTCCCCGTCAGAAAAAAAGTTTGTTGTCTAGCTTGGCATCTCTATCTTCTGATGTGGGATCAGGGATGGCAGGACAAGAGATGCCATGCTACAGTAGAAACAAGAGAGCAAGGGGCTGCACTCAGTAGTCATCTAGCAGTGTTCACGATGATCATCCTGGAAATTCACCGCTGGTTACTGCTAACACTTCAAGTGGTCGTCAGCTTAACTCATGGAAGCACAAGCTCGACCCAACCTCCAGAACATTCGTCGAACATTTCCTTCTCTATACTTTCGGTCAGATTCTCTTAGTATATCTATCAAACCTGGCACGTCGCACAAGCCCCAACAAACCAAACATTATCATTCGGAGACGCTCCTCACATTGCGAGGGTTGGAGCTTGATGCGTGCCTGACTCGGCTTTACTGCGGCCCCAGCCACCTGGCGCGCGCGACGACTCCCTACTACAGGCAAACCGTCCGGTATCACACGGTAGGCAATAGAGGAGGACGCAAGAAGCATGACGACGACCATCACGCGGCAGACAAAGTACGGGTTGAGAGCGCCGAGCGTCGAGTTTCGCGCCATGGCAGTTGAAGAAGAAAGAAACGCGGCTCGCCAAGAAACATGGATACGAAGGTAAGGATTTCATGCAATTAGTGAAATCAAGAATCAGTTCGTACGAGAACTTCGTCAACATTATCAGAAGCCGAACGAAGGCGAAACATAAGCAGGATGTTTGTGCGCTCTGGCTATCTCCAGCCCGGTCATACAGGTCTGCTCTTCGTCAGTTTTGGCGTGCAAGCCGGCTGGTTCGGTTGGTATCATCGCCTTGCTGGCTCGTCTGCGTGCGCCATGGCTGACATCTTCGCTTCTGCGTTGGACACTTTTACCAACGCGGCAGCAAAAACCTGTATGTTCTCTATGAGTGGTGTTTGACGCTCAAAGACCTGTTGCGTTACAACCGCTAATGTAATCAGATGTACAAAAGTGCAGAATAAAGGACTAAACTTTGAGCAAATACTAAGGGCATGTAAAATCCCCGAACACATGCGAAATTTGCTTTTGGCCAGATTTACGTTGACAATTTGGTTGACATTTCTTTCTCGAAATTCAACAGATTGGTCGACTTCGTGTTGTAACTTTTACGGCCACTATTTGCAGTTTTTCAACCTTTGTGGCTGAATTGTAGGCCGGTACCAAAAGTTGCTACATCTATTCAGCATGTGCGACGGGGTTGCACATTTCACGGTGAAATTTCTCATTTGACAGGATCACAAATTTTGTTGTCATGCGATACCTTGAGACTTCGCAAATGTGTCAGAAATTAACGAGCATGAATGAATGATGAAAGAGTTAGGTACAAATGAAAGAGTTGGATTGTACCCCATATTGGCTACCCCACTACAGTCTACACATAATGATATGACATATATAGTTTGACACACCCCCATAGGCAAAGTGGGGGAGAACAAGGGGTCACAAGACCAGTCAAGAAAAGCAAAGCAAGCTCAGGGTGGATCACAACGTCACCACACATTTCGAGCACAAGCAAAGGGTCACAAGGTCAGTTCACATGCAAAGGTATGTATGCAATAACAACAATACCTAGCAAGAGTAAGCATGCAGGTATATTTATAGATATAGATATATAAATATATATATATATATATATTACAGTACAAGCAAAGACTAGAGCAAGTGAGGCGTGGGCACCAGGCCTAGAGCAGTGCAGAAGCGCTGATGATCACCAGCCGGAAGGGCCTTGGTGAACACATCAGCCGTGTTGGCCCAAGTGGGCACATAACCGACACGAAGCTGGCCACGCTGCTGCAACTCTCGAGCAAGGAAGTAACGCAGAGCGATGTGCTTCGTTCCGTGCTCCAGTCTGTGCTCCTCACACAAGGCAATAGCAGCCTTGTTGTCGACGTACAGAATTGGAGGAGAACGAGGCCTCTCTCCCAAGTCGGTCAGCAGGTAGGTGAGCCAGCGCAACTCCTGTGCAGCCATGGCTCTGACTTAGCAAGGGCGAGAGCCTCGGTGTCAGCAGTGGCAAAGACCAAGTCGTCGACGTACACGAGGATGTAGAACGGCGGCAGCAAAGTGTCGGTGCGTAAAAACAGTGACGGGTTATCAGTGGAAGGGGCAAACCCAGGAGCTGCAAGTGTCGTTCTCAGTGTGTCGTGCCACTCACGAGGCGCCTGACGGAGACCGTAGACTGGCCGCCGGAGGCTCCACTGGGTACCAGGAGGGAACGACCCAGTGAAGCTAGGTGGGCGGCGCAGCCAGATCTCCACGTGCAGACTACCCTATAAGAACACTGTGCTGAAGTCAAGAGAGTGAAGCTCGTAGTCACGCTGAGCGGCAACGTGCAGCAGCATCCGAAGAGTGGTCATCTTTGGGGTGGGGGAGAAGGTCTAGAAGAACTCAACTTCCTGTCGCTGACTGAAGCCTCGTGCAACGTAACGAGCCTTGAAGACAGGCGGAGAACCCGGCGGCCGCTTCACCCTGAAAATCCACATGCCATCGACGATGTTCGCCCCAGGAGGGGGAACCTCGTCGACGTAAGTGCATGTGGACTTCCATACTGCCATCTCTGCGTCCATGGCTGTCTGCCACTAAGAGGAGTAGGGACCCGTAATCGCCTCAGCGTAAGAGCGCGGGGTCGAGATGTCTGGTGCATCCGGGTCTCCCTCATGGGCAAGCAGCATGGCCACGAGATGAGGTGCAGCGGCTGCAAGACACTCAAAGTCCTCCTGCCTGTCCTCGAGGACGTCCGTGCCAAGAGCACACTCACCCCCGACGGACGGAGGACAGTCAGACTCAGACTCAGCAACAAGACTAGCGGCGTAGTCTAGACGACAGGAAGCAGCAAAGTCAACAAGCTCAGCGACTAAGGCAGACGCAGCAGCAGACTCAAATGATGGGTCAGTGAAAACAGTGGCTAACAGACGCGTGACAGTAGGGTGAGCAGCACGAAACTGGTCAGGCTCTGGGTCCGGAACGTCAGGCAGAGAAGACGCAGGAGGAGACGGCAGGGGAACGCGCAGAGGAACAGAGGAAGGACGAAGGGGCATCGTGTGCATGCCGGGGACAGGAGGAGGACGCTCACGAGGAACACGACGTCCTGTGCGACCAGGGCGAACAGGCGAGTCAGTTCGAGACACAGGCTCACGACGCTCATTACGACCTTCTGTCTGCTCAGTGTAAGGAGAGGGAGCCCGTCTGTAACGGGAGACCAGTAGAAGACGGGAGGCTAAGAACCTGGTGAAGCACCGAGTCAGGCGGTGGCAGAGACGACGTTGACGTTGCGAAGAACAAACTCGGCGGTGCACACTAGGACCAGCTCCCCCAGCACCAGCACCTCCAGGGTCTCAAGCAGCTCCAGAAACGCCAGCTCCAACACCTACAACTCCAGGGTCCACAGCACCACCAGCTCCGGCAGCTCCAGCACCCGAAGAGCGAGCACCTCCGGGACCAGCAGCGCTCGTACCACCAGCACCTCCAGCAGCTCCAGCACCACCACCAGCTCCAGCAGCTGCAGTCCCTCCAGAACCAGCAGCTCCAGCTCCTCTGGTACCACCAGCTCCAGGGCCTCCAGCACCAGCAGCACTGCCACCACCCCCAGCTCCAGCTCATCCAGGACGAGCACCTCCGGGACTAGTAGTGCCAGGCCGAGAGCGGGGTGCGCGTAGCGTACCATTCACGCAACTACTGCGGCGAGAGAGGCTCAACACCCCCAGACGCAGTATTCTCAGGCGCCGCATGCTCAGGCTCGACACTCCTCAGCTCCGCACGCGCAAGCTCAGCACCCCCAGGCTCCGCACCCCTAGGCTCAGCACCCCAAGACTCAACACCCCCAGGCTCAGCACCCCCAGGCTCCACACACTCAGGCTCAGCACCTCCAAGCTCCGCACCCTCAGGCTCAGCACCCCCAGGCTCAGTACCCCCAGGCTCAGCACCCCTAGACACAGCACCCCGAGCAGGACCACCCCCAGCAGCACCTGAGTCACTAGTGACCTCGACAGGCTCAACCAAGGGGGGTGGGTCTACCTGAGACACACCTGAAGGAGCAGGACCCTGAGTGGGGAGGGGGTCTACCTGAGGACATGGAGCGAGAAAGAGCGGCGGGGGGGGGGGGGGGGGAGAGGGGCAGTGCGGTAGGGAAAGAGACGGTAAAAGGGAACCGACTCGTCAAACGTGACGTCCTGAGAGGGGTGGTAAAACTGCCAGCCAGGCGCGTCAGGGGGAAAGCCAAGGAAGACGCAGGGAATGGCGCGAGAGGAGAGCTTGTCCGCGGTGGTATCGTGGACAAAGGCACGAGAGCCCCAGACCCGGAACCGCGACGCATCGCCAACCTCCCCCATCCAACGCAGTGTGGGCGAGGTCTCTGGCAAGGAGACACGGGGTCAGAGGTTGAGCTGATGCGCAGCGTACCGAACCGCAAACTGCCACAAAAAATGGGGAGCAGCATCATGGATCATGGAGGTACGAGCGACCTCCATGACTAGGCCAATGCGGCACTCAGCAACCCCATTCTGCTACGGGGAGGGTGGAAGCGTGAACGGCTGCTCGATGCCCTCCTCTTGACAGAAGGCCCGCAAGAGGTCAGAGGAGAACTCACCACCTCTGTCATAGTGCAGACGTAGAACAGGAAGGTCGGAGTGGAACCGCTCGCTGAGCTGGAGACGGACTGCGCGGATCCAAGGGATCAAGACAGCAGGGACCTCACCCTTGGTGCGCAAGGGGAAGACCGTAGTGTAACGCGTGTAGTCGCCAACAACTAGCAGAATGTACCGCTCGCCACCCTGCCCACGGACGCGGGCGGGGCCCCACACGTCCATGTGGAGAGTCTTCAGGGGAGCCTCTGTCGGGAGAACGAGGAGGAGTGAGGAGCGGCGCGCTGCCGCCCCTCGACGCAAGGAAGGCAGGCAGGGCAGGGGAGCGCGGAAGGGAGGACAGAGACATGGAAAGACCAGAGACAAGGAGACGGGTGTGCATGCCACGGAGGCGTGGCAGGGAGGGGTGACCAAGGCGGTGGTGCCAGAGGAGAGTCATGTGTGAGAGGTGGCGACACGAGCAAGGGGCTGCTGCCTGACCTGACGCGGACACATGAGCAAACGCAGCTACCTGGGGAGACTCAGTAGTCAATGTATACAGGCTCGACCCAGGCCGACGGGTAAACGTGGCCAGGTGACGGCCCGTCCGTGCACACGTGCAGATCGCCACACGCTGCCATGCAGGGGTGAAGGTATTAACCCCCACATCCTGAAGGGCAGCGTTGCTCACCAAGTTCATCGAGAACGAGGGGAGGTGGAGACCTGACAGTGAGCCAGACGGAACCGCCGGACAAGGGAGCACAGTGGTGGAACGTGCAAGCACCGGGCCCCCCGAGGGGTCAGTCAGAGAAACGGCAACGGGTCTAGTGAGTGGTGTGAGTGTGGTACTGTCGCGAAAGACGCAACAAGTAGCACCTGAGTCAAGTGTGAAGGTGTGCAGTACCAGAGAGAGCAAACTCACTAGCACCTAAAGTAGTAGTCGGTATACTTGGGTCAGGCGGCACACACAAGTAACAGTCACCCTCAGGG